TGAAGCGGAATGTTGTTTGCTTGTGGGGGTGTGTGTGTGTGTGTGTGAGGCTGTTGGTGGGAGGCGTGATGGTGGGGAGTGGTGCAACTCACCTTGGTGCTGAGGAGCATGATGCACTGATCAAAGTGGTGATGCTCCAGAACAGAGGTGGAGTAGAGGTTGACCAGAGGTGACATTGTGCGAATTTGGAATTGGTTGTTAGTGCCACGATGGTCGAGATCGTGCGAGAGGCAGGCGATAATGATGGAGAGGCATTCGAGATCGCTGAATACGGCTTCCATTCCTCTCCTCTCCATTTGATTAGAGTACAGTATTTGGTGGAATGCTATGATTTTGGAACGTTTTTCAACCTTCTCCCCAATCTGTGTGTTTTGGCTAAACTTTTTGTTTTTGCTTTTTCTGAACACCAGTATCCCATTCATTATCGTTTTGCCAAAAAATTTTTTTAACCTCGATTGCCTTGAACAAGTTACAGTCCCTCTTTTTTGTTTGTCTCACCCAACTCTTGATCCAAATTTTTTTCCCTTTTCTCTGCCTTATGCTTTCTCTGTCCCTCTCCCCTTACTCTGTTTTAAAAATTCCTTTTTTTTATTTTCGCAAGAGCATTTTTTTGCCTCAGGGGTTCCTTTTTTAAAGGTTGAGGAACCGATTACTTTAACTTGTTATTTTGCTCTTTTTTTATCACTGCATGCCTTTGTCCCCGTTTTTTTTTCTCATTCGCATATCCGTAATGGGCAGCAAAATTCTCGGAGACTTTTATGCTATCGTCCTAACCATTTAAAATTAATTTTTGTTAAAAAGGCCTTCACTAATGTTTGATGGGTACTGATTTTGTTGTCACACGTGGAATTACTGTGTGCTTCATTGTTGCACTGATCATTCATTTCCATCTATACCAACAATAGGTCCTCTTTAGGAAAGGGGAATCGTAACACCTTCTAAATTGTTCTCCTATCTCTTCATCTACAGACCATAAATATTCTCGATGCAATTGATGATTCACGTTTCGATCCGTCGGTAAGTTTTAATCCCTCTTTTTTTTTTGCTCAACATTTAATGCTTTTCAGTGTACATCTGTGCAGTCAAAACAAATTTGCATTTGTGAGATATGCAAAGGGAAGAGGCACTGGTAAATGCTACAGGATCATTTTGGTGGGTCTATGCTGAAGTGGTTGTGTATGCCAGGTCTGACTTTGATCGTGAGGCAAAATCATGAATTAGTGTCCCATCAAATTCGAGGATGTAGTAGCTGATTTTGAGCATAACCTTCATCGCCTTCACGATGGAAGGAGTTGAAGGTCTCAGGTGGTGACGAATGTCTGTATCATAAAGCTGATCGTACTTTACCACAGGCGTGTGGCTAGCATTCCACGTAATGCAAAGAAGGTAGCAGAGATGATCGCACATATGCCACATGTGAGTTGTGAATGTAAATATTGTTTCTAACTGATGCTGTTGATAAGTGAAGACAAATTGGAGGGCTGATCGTGGCTCCATTTGTAACATGAAGTCGTCACGTGCATCTCTGCGTCCTGATTCACCGAGACTCCTTTATCCATGTCCTTAAATGGAATCGAGTATGTCAATCAAATGTAAAGGTCAGACTAGTGTCGATGTTTTCCAACTTGCCTTACAGATGGATTGCAAGGATCCAGTTTGGCGGACACGTTCTATTCTCTGTATGCCAATCAAACATTCGAACGGCCGTGTGCTTGGCGTGTGTCAATTAGTAAACAAGTCCTCTTTTTTCTGTCAGTCCACCTCATCCTTCTCTCAAGAGACAGCCGCCACGGCCTGGGAGCGCAAAGAAAGTTGGTCCGGTGCCTTTTCTCGCAACGAAGAGGCTCTATTTGAAGCCTTTGCTTTGTTTGCTGGTCTTGGCATTGCCAACACTCAAATGTACGAGAAGGTGCTTAGAGCTGAAGCTAAACAGCGTATCGCTTTTGACGTCCTCTCTTATCATGCCACTGCAACACCAAGTGAGGCGGCTGCTCTCAGCAAAGAACTCATCCCCTCCGCCAAATACTACCGTCTTAATCAGTTCTCCTTCACCGACATCTAGTACGTTCTTGATGATCAAGTCGAAACGTTGTTTTTCATCTTCCACCTTTACAATGAAGTGGCATGTTTCAAGGTAAAAGGATGTTTCATCCTGAGCAAATATTTGGGGAATAAGTTTGTGACTTGGCTGCTCCAGTGCGTTAAGCAAACTTAGTCCACCACGAGCAGCTGTGAGGCGGGGCTTGGGACTCTTTTAAGTCTCCGACTAGAATAAACAAGGAGTATAGGCATCAAAACAATGCTCCCCAGATTAGGGCGAATGTCCAGTTGCCTTGTCTTGTCCTCTTAACCGTTAGCAGCCTCTCCAAACCCCGTCTCCTTCGTGAGGTGCACCAATCCAAGAAAAGTGACAAAAAGTGCGAGCTCTCCAGACCCTTTTGAGTAATTGAGACATTCACTAGAAGTTCAAGTTCAGATTGCTTTATCCAAATCACTAATTGACATGAGTTTGAGGGAGGATGTCGCCTTTACCATTTGCTGTGGTGGTTTAGTTTATGTTCCAAGTTGGAAATCACAAACTCAGAGAAGGGCTAACGATACGTATCAATCACACCTAAAATCTGAAGTGTGCTACCGTACAAGTCACTAATACCGTTGTAAAATCTCAGCATCGTCACACTTCTGCCACTGAAAGAATTATGACCATTCCTTTGACTTGCCTCAATTTGTAGATGTGGCTTCCTTCACTACCCTACTTTTTACCTACCGTCCATTCTTAGCTTGTTGTCTGAGTCTGATTGATGTGATTTTGAACTTTGCATCCTACAGTGGAAGTTGAACTTGATTGTAAACTTGGAGCGGACGCCTTTTGCCAAAACCCCATAATGTCCCACTAAGAATAGCGTGGCAAAGGTAGTTTTGGTGGTAGCTCACTATAGCACATCGTGCTCACGAGGACCCATAACTCCTGAGCGTGAAGAAGTTCGCTTTCTAGTGGTGAGGAGAAGGCGGGAACCCAGAGTACCAACCAGGTCAATGCGTGTCACAAGGTGTGCGTTGCTTTCTGGGTTTGACAAATACTGAAGTGGATGTTGTCAAATACATTCTTGTCTATTAAATCGACTGGGCTGAAAGTGCTGGATCGTGGTGAGGTGTGAGCTCAAACTGCTCAATGCACTTGACTGGGTCGTCTGGTAATGTGTGAGGAGATGGGTTGGGTACCTCTTTTGGAAAGGCTAAAGGAAATGATTAAACTAACATTATGATTCAACTGTAGACATGACAAGAACAAAATCATGGCAGACTTCACGCAGGCTTGAAGCATTTTATTTTCGTAGATTGCAATAATACGACATTTTTGATTATTTTGTTCTACAAAAGCCGATTTATCAGTTTTCCCTCCTCTCAGCATGACTTATTTTCATGTTTGATGAACCCTAAAGTACTTTGATGCTTCAGTTTGTCAGTGGACGACACTCTGAAAGCGTGCATTCGAATGTTCTCCGACATGCACTTCATCAATCGCTTCTGCATCGACTACAACCTCCTCTGCCGATGGCTGTTGTCAGTGAAGAAGAATTACCGTTCCGTCACTTATCACAACTGGCGGCATGCCTTCAATGTAGCACAAACAATGTTTGTCATGTTTAAGGTGGGTTTTTTTTTTCCGATGTTTACCATACCAGACGTGGCGTCTCGCAACTCCAAAATTAGCTCCATTTGACGTCATTACCGGACTTCAGAAAGATTTTTGAGGGCAGTCAATGGTCATTTGTATCAACTAATATTCACCTTCAGCCATCACAAAAGTGTCGAATAGGCCAATAATTCCGTATTAGTAAATCAAAATCCAAGTTCATCAACTACTGATATCTGTTGCGCTATTTGAGTAGCACGTGTGTATAATTTGTATTTCTGCTCTTGTAAAATAGATGAACGTTCCTTAATTCTTCAGAAGCACTTCAACTGCATATTTGTACAACGTCATTAAAATCATATTTGCTCATCCTCATCACGATAGTTGTTGTTTAGACGTTAAGACGCTGAGTGCAAATTTTACTGCTGCGAATGGGTTAAAGTTCGACAGTTTGTAGATAAAAAGACACAAAATTGAGATCTTTTTGTTCGGACTTTGACATTTAAGATGGTTGAATTGAAAGAATGCTAGCGTATAAAACCGTTTATACGCCGTCTACAACCTTTTTAAATCCAAATCGACAAGTCTACAAAACAAACAAAGCCACCAGTTCTACACAACTAGTCAATCAATTATAATAGACGTGAATAAGAATTTTAAAAAAATGTTAAAGATAAAAGTGGAGTAGAAAATTTAAGTATATCCTCTACCGCTTTAATGTAGTCCGGCGGAATGGAAGCGGTATTCAGCGATCTCGAATGCCTCTCCATCATTATCGCCTGCCTCTCGCACGATCTCGACCATCGTGGCACTAACAACCAATTCCAAATTCGCACAATGTCACCTCTGGTCAACCTCTACTCCACCTCTGTTCTGGAGCATCACCACTTTGATCAGTGCATCATGCTCCTCAGCACCAAGGTGAGTTGCACCACTCCCCACCATCACGCCTCCCACCACCAGCCTCACACACCCACACACAAGCAACATTCCGCTTCTCATTACCACCACTTTCGTAGGAAACAGTAAAATTTCACTGCTTCGCCTCATCCGACGCCTCGTGCGTGGGTGTGTGCGTAAAGAGGCTCAGCCCTAGACTGTGTGAAGGCAGCGGTTTGGAGCAAACGATTTTGGGTGTCAAAGTAGCGAAATGCCACCAACCACAATTGAGTCATTTCTTCGCCTAAACAGAGGAGTTTCCGTATGGTTGAGGATGTTGTTGCAATGCGAGTGAAGTGGAGTGGAGTGGAGTGTGGAGGGTAAGTCACAGTGAAATGAGATGGGTCAATGTGTGGTGGTGTGGGGTGGATGAGTGAAGAGGGTGAGGGTGAGTGCGAGAAGACGGATGGTGGGAAGTGGGATTGGCAGGAGGAGAAGGAGGAGGAGGAGGAGGGGTAGAGTGAAACAAGTATGCTTGCACTGGCTTGAGGCGCGCATTTGGCGCCTCTCGGTTAGACATCAAAGCGTGCATCGGAAGTGAAGGAGGAGGGAGGGTAGGTGGATGGAGGCATGCAATAACATGGAGGTGGGTGGAAGACAACTATTGCCATTGGCATGAAGTAGGGAGGGGATGTGGGTATTGGAGGGGATGGTGTGAAAAGGCGTAGAAATGAAGTGTGGAGGCTCGAGTGGTGTCAGACTTTTCCTTCTTACTACGGAAAGTGAGAATGGCATGCGAGAGCATGAAACGTTTACACATTGCGTACACGCATCATGGAGTGGCAAGACACATCCACACAACCACAATATGCTGCATTGAGTGATGAATGGTGGTGGTGGTGGTGGAGGAGGAAGGTGGATAGGAGGAGTCGTAGGGGGAAGATAAGGCGAGGAAGAGGTTAGTGGTGAAGGCGAAAGTGGAGGAAGAGTGGAAGATGCAG